TCAGGTTTTCTTAGAGCAGGCTCTCTTTGATTAGAACAGACCACAACGCTGTCGAATAAATCAGACCCACCCAAGGGCAAACCCCACCAGGGGGAAGTCTTTCTTCTTTTATGCTGCATCACCACATGCTCGTCGCTGGTTGCCCTGATTACCTGTACTGCTTGGCTTGTGAGATTCCAATAAACCCTAGCTCAGGAAAAGGGAGCCAGTGACCTGGGAGTAAACGCTTTCCAAACAAAATGGCGCTGTAGGCAGAGCTACAGTGAGAACAGCCAGAGGTCTGAGGCCTAACTTGCTACTGGCAAGCTCAGTGTCATCAGCCTCATACTCTTGTTTGTTTATTTTTTGTTGCTTCTTCTTTGTGGGGCAGATATCTTATAGACACTAAGAGACCACAGATGTCAGCCCCAACTACTATACCCAACAAAATTTGTAATTACCATAGGCAGAAAAAAGTATTCCATGAAAAAATAAATTTAAACAGTACTTAACCACAAATCCAGCCCTACAGAAGATACTAGAAATAAAAAGCCAATCCAAGGAAGCTAACTACACCCAGGAAAACATTAGAACTAAAAAACACCACATCAGCAAAAACAAAAGAAGGGAAGCACACACACACACACACACACCACCACCACCACCACCACCACCACCACCAATGACATCAAAATAACAAGAATTAACAACCACTGGTCATTAATATCTCTCAACATCAATGGCCTCAACTCCCCAATAAAAAGGTGCAGGCTAACAGAATAAATGTGAACACAGGATCAATCATTCTGCTGCATACAAGAAACACACTTCAGCAAGCTAGACAGTACGTTAGAGTAAAGGGTTAGAAAAAGGTTTTCCAAGCAAACAGACCCAACAAGAAAACTGGACTAGCCATTCTAGTATCTAATAAAATAAACTTACAACCAAAACTAATCAAAAGAGATGAGGAAGGACACTTCATACTCATGAAAGGAAAAATTCATCAAGATGATGTCTCAATTCAGGACATATATGCCTCAAATACAAGGGCACCAACATCCATAAAAGAAGTATTACTAAAGCTTAAATCACAAAACAAACTCCACACATTAGTAGTGGGAGACTTCAACACACCTCTCTCAACAATGGACAGATCGAGACAGAAACTAAACAGAGAAATAATGAAACTAACAGATGTCATGAATCAAACAGACCTAACAAATATCTATAGCATATTTCACCCAAATACAAAAGAGTATACCTTCTTCTCAGCACCTCACAGGACCTTCTCCAAAACTAACCGTATATTAGTCTCAAAGCAAGCCTCAACAGATACAAGAAGATTGAAATAACTCCTTGTATTTTATGAAACCACCACATTAAAGCTGGAACTCAACAACAACAGAAACTGATTAACACAAAGAAACTGAATAACTCCCTACTCAATGACCACTGGTCAGGAAAGAAATAAGAAAGAAATTAAAACTCTCTAGAATTCAATGAAATTGAAGGCACAACATACCCAAACTTATGAGTCACAATGAAAGCAGTGCTAAGGGGAAAGTCCATAACACAAGTGCCTTCATAAAGAATTGGAGAGTTCTCTTATTAACAGTTTAAAAGCATACCTAAAAGCTCTAGAACAAAATGAAGCAAACATACCCAAGAGGAGTAGACAGCAGAAAATAAATTCAGGGCTGACAAAGCCCTGAGACAAAGAGAAACAAGGAGAATGACACAAAGAATCAATGAAACCAAGAGCTGAATCTTTGAGAAAATCTAGAAGATAGACAAACCCATAGCCAAACTAACTAAAAGGCACATAGACTGTATCCAAATTAACAAAATCAGAAATGAAAGGGAGACTTAACAACAGACCCTGAGGAACTCCAAAGAATCATTAGGTCTTACTTCAAAAGCCTGTATTCCACAAAATTGGAAAACATAAAGGAAATGGACAATTTTCTCAAAAGATTTCACTTACCAAAACTAAATCAAGATCAGTTAAATAGTTTAAACAGTCCCATAACCCTTAAGGAAAAAGAAATAGTCATCAAAAATAGTAGAGCGCAACAGTAATAAAAACTGCATGGTACTTGCATAGAAACAGACTGGTGAATCAATGGAATTGAATCAAAGACCTGGAAATAAACCCAGACATCTACGGGCATCTGATTTTTGACAAAGAAGCCAAAACCATACAGTGGAAAAAGGATAGCATCTTCAACAAATGGTGCTGGTCTAACTGGATGTCTACATGTAGAAAATGCAAATAGATCCATATTTGTTGCAAATATGGATTTACTTAAAGTCTAAGTAAATCAAAGACCTCAACATAAAACCAGATACACTAAATCTATTAGAAGAAAAACTGGGGAAGAGCCTTGAACTCTTTGGCACAGGAGATAACTTCCTGAACAGAAAACCAACAGCTGAGCCTTTAAGATCAACAATTAATACATGGGACTTTTCAAAAGCTTCTGTTTACAAAAGCTTTAGTAACAGAAGCTTTAGCAAAGGACACTGTCAATAGAACAAAAGGATAGTCTACAGACTGGGAAAAGATATTCACCAACCCTACATCCAATAGAGGGCTAATATAAAGAACTCAAGAAATTAAACACCATCTAACTAAATAATCCAATTTAAAAATGGGGCACAGAGCTAAAGTCTCCATGTGGGTTTCCCAGTAAGAGGAGCAGTTGCTATCTCTGACATGGACTCTCTTGCCTACTCCTTGATCACTTCCCCTTGGTGAGGTGGCCTTGCCAAGCCACAGAGGAAGAGGATGCAGGCAGTCCTGATGAAACTTGATAAGCTAGGGTCAGTTGGGAGGGAAGGAGGGCTCCCCCTTTCTGCTTTCTGAGGACTAGGGAAGGGGACATTGCGGGGGGGAGGAGGGACAGAAGGTGGGACCAGGATGAGATGAGGGAGAGGGCTACGATCAGAATATAAAGTGAATAAATTAAAAAATTAGATTTTTAAAAATTAAAGACAGAATGAAGACAATATAGGTGACAACTCCTATTTTCTTTGTGCTAAATATATTTTGCTAACTAAAATTTAAAAAAAAAAAAAAAGAACTTAAGAAAAAATACTGGTCCACTATAAGATATTGCCGAAACATGAAGTTGGGTTTTGTGTGAAAGGGTAAAGTGCAACCTGCTTGTGTGAATACATGCTGACCTAGTACAGAGAACACGAGGCCCTCAGTAGTCTGTGGCAGGCACAGCACGGGGCCAAAGCTGACAAGGAAGAGCTGCTGATGTGGATCAGAAAGTGTCATAAGCCTCCCAATGAAGACTTGCCCTCTTATTCTATACAAAGCCTCTCGTTACCTGTGCCTTCATGTAACATTCACACACCAAGGGGAACGGAGAGAAGACTCGGTGTTTAAGAGCATGTGCTGTTGTTCCAGAAGACTCATGTTCTTCCCAGCACTCATGTTCAGTTCCCAGCACACGTCCTGCAGCTCACAGCTGACTATAACTTCAGCTCCAGGACATCTGGTATCTCGTTCTGGCCTCCACCGACCCCAGTATCCATGGAGTGCATACACAAGTAAACACACTAAAGGAAAATAGAACTGTAAGGGAAAAAATAAGCCTTGCATACCAAGAGCAGCAAACAGCAGCCAGGGGTGGCCCTCCCCTACTTTCTTTTCTATTTAAGGTTTCGTTAAAAGGTGTTTGCATCTGTCAGCTACACATCTGTCCCTCTCCCCTCCTAACACACACACACTGTCTGTTAGGAGTGAAGATGCCCCCAGACTCTGGGGCACTGAGAACTTTGAGGGTCTGGGGTAAGCGCCACACTGGGCAACTTCACCTCCACTAAAAGGCTGAATGGCAGAGGGTGTCCTCCAGTTCCCAGGGGATATAGAATTTAAGCTGCTGGCCAGCTCCAAGCTAGCGCTCACAGGGCTGACTGTGCCAGACACCCTTTTCTGCTGTCAGCTGTCACAGCAGCTCCTTGGAGTGTTAAGACTTTTTAATCTTTGATCTTTTTCCTCCATAAGGAGGTTTTTCAGGAATCACTGCTTGGATTCTCATTTGCATGCTCGTTTGCATGCTCATTTAAATCCCCATTTGCATCTCATTTGCCTCATCAACTCCTCCCAATCACCAAATCCTTTATAAATAATCATTACCAACCACAGATTTTTTTTGAGATAAGATAGATTAATGGTGCACTTGGGGCCCATTAAGACCTAAACCTTCTTATCTGGCTGGCTCTTTTGAAAGTGTTTGCATTTGAGGTCTATAGGTACCAACATGAAAGTCAGTAACAATAGACCAGTTCCTTTTTAAGACAAGAAGTGTCTATCCAAACACAGAGGAAAAAGCAAATTCTGTAATATTGTAGTCTCATCCCTTGAAATAAGATCCTACCTGGACACTCAGTCTTCCCGAAGTAAATCTCATAAAGGTTATATGCTTGTAAGACTCTTACCAGCAAAGCCTGAATTTTACATTCTTATTTATTTTTATATAGAACCTTTGTTCTGTTCAGTGAAGTGGGTTTTAAACAAGATGAAGTAAATCATAAGTGTTCACAGTAGTTTCAATGATCTCTGATGGCATTAGAGAAACCTTTCGAGGTACAGATAGTCTCTATTTACAAAAGGAGAAGCCAGAAACCAGTGAGCTTGAAAATCATGGTTTGTAAATCAGAAAACCAGTTGCTCTTTCTGCATCAAATGCAACTACTGACTTTTTAAACGGTCTCGTTATGTGCAGACACCTACAGCTTTAAAAGCAAAGGAAGTCAATTTTGTATTGTGTTATCAAAATTATTATTGCACATTGGTAGGTTGTATGGCACTCGAAAAGACAGGATCCATCTACATTCATGTTTCTATTCTAGTCATGAAACTCAGAATTTCACACATCTGTGAATATCTATCATTAAAGCACTTGCTTTTTATAAACCGAATACATAAAGTTTAAAAAGTTTACTTCAACCCAAAATGGCAAACACTTAGGTTTCTCTCTTTCTTTGTCTCTCAATATTTTTCCCAGGGACAACGTCTCTTTGAGAAATTGCTCCAACTGACATCGCAAAATATCGAAATCAAGCTGGTGAGCGATGTGACTGCTGATTCAAAGGTATTAGAAGCCTTGAAGTTAAAGGGTAAGGCCATGGTTGATGCTACTTTACCATGGACATTCTGTAACGTTAACCTGAATTTCATATAAAAGTGTCTTTTTTTCATCAGCACATTCTACTTCATATGTTTCTTAGGTCTCTTTTGAAAGAAAGAGGAAAGAAAGAAAGAAAGAAAGAAAGAGGAAAGAAAGAAAAAGAAAGAGAAAGAAGTTAGCCAATTAAAGATTCTAAGTGAGAGAACTAGTTAACCAATGCTACTGGGATTTGTAAAGTAGCATTTTGTATATTAGTTTATGATAAATAATCTACTATCCATAAAATGATATTTAATGAAGACATCAGTCTTTTCTGCATACGTCAATAGTTTAATCTAAAGAAAAGAACTACTTCAATGGAATCAAATGCTAGGTTTCCATTTCTCCCTTGCCAGTCTGGTAGAAATCTTTGTGTTATGTAATCTTCACTGCGATTGGGTCTGGGGACCTTTGAAGCACTGTGATTCTGACTTCAGGATAATTCCACAAAAAAACATGACTCACTCAGCCGCTCTTCCCTGTCCCAACCTCAGCCACACTGAGCTTCATTCTGGAACAGTTATCTTTTCCTATAATCTTTTTAGCTAGACTCTCAATTCCACATATTTTTTTAAAAAAAAATCATTTACTCGGCATTTCCTATGCAAACTGTTAATCTGTAGAAAAGATTGACACGTGAAATCAGGGAAAATGTCCAAGCTGCAGGAAGAAAACCAGGCGATGCCCTCTGCAAGTCTTCATGTTTTACCTGCAGCAGCAGGTCTCAGGTGTTTGCTGTATGAACACAGTGTGCATGTTTGCTAGTCATTGTCCCCACATCGTTACATGATAGTAGTTTCTAAAACTAAGACAGAGTGCCACAAGTAAGTGAGCCCAAGTGTCATAAAACAAATTGAAATGGGGAAACGAAAGACCTAAAGTTGGATATACACATTAACTTTGTATGGTCTGCCTTACATTGCTGTAACAAAATACCCAAGATAATTTATTTAAGGGAGAAGTTTTCCTTTGGCAGATTGTTTTGTAGTTGAGTCTGTTGTCTTTTGTCCCTGTTGAACTGGGCTTTGGGTAAATAGTTCAGAGTAGGAGCACATGGCAAGGAAGGTTGTTCCAGCAGGAGGCAGCCACAAGTGTATCAGAGAAACTGGAAGGGACCAAGATGTCATTCTCCCCTTCAAGGCCTTGATTTCACTGATGAAGCTGCCTTCCTCTAGGCTTTTAGGCCACCTAAAGTCTCCACCACCTTCCCATACAGTGCTGCAGGCTGAAAGCCAAGCCTTCCTGCCCTGGGGCTTTGTCACAAAACCTATCAACACGCTACTATGGCCAATCTTACCATTGTGTTTCATTCTGTTTTGGTATTTTGAGACAGAATACAGCCCTGGCTGTTCTAGGCCTCACTACCTAGACCCAGGCTGGCCCAAAATTTTAATAATTCTCCTGCCTCCTGTCCCCAGACTGCTGAGATTCCAGACATGAGCTATCACACCTAGAGTTTTGTGGGGCTTTTTTCTGTGTATAGGAAAGTTTACATATGTACAAGATATTCCTGGATCTAAATTTTTTTTTCAATTAGCCTTTTTTTTTTCCAACTAGTAATACATTTAAAAAATAGACAATGCCAATTCAGATACAGTCATCATGGCTCAGAAATGTATAATTGCTTTTCTTATTTGTGAAATAACAAGTTGAATCCCTATCATCCCAGTGTTTGCTATCTAACACACACTCTATAGGAAGGGATTCCCTTTGGTTAACTGGGGGGTAGGGCTGTATTTGTAGTTTGCAGGAAGCCCATCTCAATAAGTCTGCTTGCATCTCCTTAGATGGGGGAAGAGGGGACCAGAGAGTTACCGATTCTTCCTAGCTGTAGCCCTTGTTAACCCTGTAAACTCAATCAAGAGTTAAGACGAGGAGCCATTAGGGGAGCATATGGTCCTAGACCTTGCTGAATGAGAATCAACAAAGGTATTAACAAAAACCTGGTTTCCTTTCTGCTGAGAACTGAGTTCTGAACTCCATGATGGTCATTGTGTCTCATAGAAAAGGAATGGTCTGAATTTTCAGGTCGATGTAGGTCCTGCTCATTAGCAGGAGTTATTATCTATCTCAGTAAGAAAATAAACAATTTGCTTTTACACTGGTGAAGCAATAGTACCTGTGTACCTAGAGTTAGGCACACCTGGCTTTTAGCGGGTGCTATATGAACATGTAGTCTCAGGACAGGATATAAAAACCTTTAACAACCAAGTGCTACCAATGTCTATTATCACTCCTCAGTAGACACCTTAGAAAGTTTTTACAATATCATTAAAAATTTGTCTTTGAGTATCTTGCTTGAGAAAGAACTTTAAACTTTTTTTTTAGGAAGAAATTACTCTTTCAGTAAAGTTTTTAGAAGTTTTGTCCAAAAATATACAGATCCAAAAAAAAAAAAAGTACAATACTAGCCATAAAAAGTTGTAGTTGTTTTTCTTGTGGCATCCCTGTCCCCTCTGGTTCTTTCCATCATCCCTCCTGCCTCCAATTCTTCCACAGGACTCCCTGGGCTCCGCCTAATGCTTGGCTGTGAGTCTCATCATCTAATTCAGTCAGCTGCTGGGTGGGGCCTCTCAGAAGACAGTTATGTTAGGCTCTTGCCTGGAAACATATCAGAGTATCTTTAATGGTGTCAGCGGCTCTCTCCCATGGGGTGGGACCCAGGTTGGGCCAGGCATTGGTTGGACATTACCTCAGTCTTCATCTTTATCTCTGTACATTTTTGTAGGCAGGGTAAATTTTAGGTTGAGGGTTTTGTAGGTAAATTGGTATTTATATCAGTCAAGTAACCTATACCCATGCGGGCTTGCGGAGATGGAAGCACTAACTAAGGAGCATGCATGGACAGGACCTGGACCCCCTACACATGTGTAGCTGATGGGCATTTTAACCTTCCTGTGGGTCCTCTAGTGAGTCGAGCAGACGCTGTTTATGGCATGGACTCTGTTGCCTGCTTTCAAGCACTTCTCCTAGTGGGGATGCCTTGCCTGTTCTCAGTGGATCAGGATGAGCTCAGTCCTCATGTGACTTGATGTGCTGAGGTGTTTTGGGGTTTGGGGATCCCCTTTTCTAAGGAGAAGAAGGGGGATGGGAGGAAGAAGGTGGGGGGAGGGAAATGGTTGAGAGGAAGGAGAAACTATGATTGGATTAAAGTGAATATATAAATTAAAAAAAATCAGTTGCAAGGGTGTTACTAAATAAAGAAGAGATTTAATATGCTGTGAAATACAGGAGAATGAGGCTTGCCAATAAGAGGTGGAGAAAAAGAGACAGACAGACAGATGATAGATACATGGGTGGGTGGATGGATGATGTGTGTGTGGGTGGATGAATGGATGATGATACACAGACAATAGCTTAGTCCGCTTATGCTACTCCAATAAAATAACAGAACTGAGAAATTTTAAAAGAACAGAAATGGGGTCTGAAACTTGAGCCCCAAGGCACTCACAATGGTGTGTGGCAAGGGCCTCTTCTCCATATCTAAGATAGAGCTTTGTGCTGGTATCCCCCTGATGTGCCATCACATGAAACAAGATAAAGTGGTAGACATGACACAGCAATTTCTCAAAGGCCTCACTTCTTATTACCACCACAAGAGGACAAATGTCTGTATGTGGACCTGAAGGAAGTTTACATCATAGCCAATAGAAGAATAGATGGGTGGGTAGATAGATAGATAGATAGATAGATAGATAGATAGATAGATAGATAGATAGA